CATGGTACGCGCTGTATAGATTTGTGAATCTTGCTAACACGGGACCAGGGTATTTTGCTAAAGGATGGTACCATGCCCTATGTACTATCCAGCATATAACCTTCCATTAGGTCTCTCGCGTCAGTAAATATTACCGTCTGGTCCTTTTAATTTATAGTAATCGGTGGATGCTTACAGCGACAAAACAGATTACTAGCCAAGGGATGATAACAGTGTTACCTATCCTAGCGTTCTTAAGTAGGTCCATGAGGAAAATCTGCATTCTAGAGTCGTGTTTTTAACGATTTGCGCTTCTTTGTGAATTTAAGTTGTAAGGTAGCTTACACAGAAACATAAATACAAGATACGTTAACTAGTTATAGGAAAGATCTTATACTAAATCAATATAGAGAAGGTTTTAAGACCTTAGACTAATATTATCCGTCACCTGGACGAACAACCGAGAACATAGTTATCAGACGGAAAGCTTTATTGAGAAATGACTAAGCTCGGTAGGGTACTTAGAGTTCCGAGCCACCGGTGGTTTCGGGCCATCCACCCACCAACCACCCAATCCACCACGCGTTTCCACTTTTGAAGCTATACAACTCCACCACAACACGACTAAAATGCCTATAAATGAGCAATCTATACAACGTGCGCTAGCCGATCGCAATGTAAGAGTTTTTCCGAGCCTCCGGGCAGGAAGTAGAGCGTACAATGTGCCCAGAACAACCCTGCAGCGCTGCTAGGCAGGTGCAACGCGCTACGCAATCGCCCACCAGCTACAGCAGCGCCTAACTCCCGAACAAGAACAGCACCTAAATAGTCGATTGGATTCTAATCGAAGATCAGCGCGCAATGCCGCCCACCCATTCTATAGTACGAGCTGTTGCGACCCAATTGCTGGCCATGAACGGTGACGACCGCCCGTTTGGGCGCGGCTGGGTATCCCAGTTCCTCCGGCGAACCAGCGGACCCATTCGGTAGTCGGTAGATCTATCCATGCCGCCCGAGCTGAGGCAGCCGATCCGACCGCGATTCGAGCTTTCATCGAGCTCTTTGAGCACACCCGACGCCAGTACAACATCTTGTTGGAAGATATATACAGTATAGATGAGACTGGACTTAGGATAGGCATTTGCAACAACCCCATGGCGTTAAGTTCATCTAAGAAAAGAAAAACTTACCGGAAATCTCCAGAAAACCGAGAGTGGATATCGATAGTTGAGTGCGTCTTGGCTACCAGCCACACGCTACGCCCGGTAGTAATATTCAAGGGACAGCATCTCGAAGCCAGCTAGTTCCCGTTAGAATCTATACCAGATTGGCTGTATGCAACGTCAGAAAACGGCTGGGCTTCGAACAGTACAGGCCTTGAGTGGTTACGCCGCGTTTTTATACCGGAAACCACTCACAATCAATCACGCAGTCGTGTCCTAATACCCGACGGCCATGGCTCTCATACCAATGTTGAGTTCATGTCGGAGTGCTACACCCACCAGATACAACTACTCTAACCAAGCTTAACGTCCTTTTTCTCGTATTCCTCTTCTGACGTTCTACTAAACATATGCCGGGTTGAATTTCCGACTTTGCAAAAGAAAAGCCCTTGCAATTCAGACGTGAGGCTGTACCTACATATGCGCCTAGCGTTGCAGGCCTGCGTCGACCGACTGCGCCACAAAAGCTAAGGGTGCCTTACTAAGGGAAAGAGCCGAATTTCTTGCTTTAGCTATCTAAAACTCCGTGTTTCCAGTGCTTTGAGTCATACAAGAGAAGATGAGGTGGCCAGATCCTAGGAGCTAGCACAGGAACTAAAGTCTGTCCCTATGTGACGAAAAACCCCGTGTGCCGAGAACGACCAACCGGGTCGCAAAGATGACACACTTCTCTTGGACCCTCGTAATCCGATTGGTCATTTTCGGCACACAGGTTTTTCGTCACATAGGGACAGACTTTAGGAGAAGATTGACCCACGGCATTGCTGACAAGAGCTGGTACTATTCAGGTAAGGTCACCATGAAACGAGAGAGGCTTAGCATGGGATCAAAAGTCACCTGCTTACGGAAACCAGAAGGTGCAACTGCATGAGAATGTAAGTGCGAGGTGAGAGCTTGGATCTAATTGGATGTAACTGTTGAGAGCGTTACATGCCGAAGCGATCCTCCGTGTTGCGTTATTATGACGTGTAGTACGAAAGAGAATGACCTGTAACTACTCAATCTAACGTGTTCAAATTTGATGACGTGTAATATACCCGATGACATTTACCAAAGTTTCCTCAACTATCTACTTCCCCTTGCTCAAGGTTATAGAAGTAACCCAAGTGAAGGATGATGTATACTTCAGGCCTTTGGATTTACAATTTTTGCAATTACAAGCCGTTGTCCAGTGTCGCAAAAATGTCAACCAATCAACTCCTTCCAGCCATAGAAAGCATTGCTGATCCTTGTTTGTTTCCCATCCTTACGGATGGAATAGCTAGCCCAAGGGAACTAAAATTCATGGAGCTTGAGCTCGGAGAGGTCATTAACATACATCAAAATTGTCAACTGTGGCACACTACTGTTGAAAAGTTTGTGCAGGCCGTTTGGGCAGTTGTTCTTCGTCAATTCACACAAACTGATATTATTCAATTTGGGTTTCGGAGTATATCAACGAAGAGCTGCAGTGGCAATGAAGGCTGGGACTGTCCAATACAGCACTTGATGGGCCGCGTTGACCGAGATACAGTTCCGTTACAAATAGTATGGCAAAAAACAGTTTCAGGTGATTTTCATGCAACGCCCTTTAACACTGGTACTGTACTACAAAGTTTCGGAGATTTCCATCGAAGTGACTGGCAAACCAACGTCCAAATGCCAGTCATCAAAGGGAAACAAATGGAGGTAAATAACATGACTCCTCAACAAAACTATACTTACCTAGAATAGGATTACGAGATCTTGCTTATTGCAGATATAAACAAATACCAATCCAGGTTCGTGCTTCGCTATGCAACATCAACCCTATGCGACGCCCAGGCTCTAAATATATCGAGCAACATAGTGGTGGCTATCAGGACTTTGGCCAAGTCATCTGGAAAGACAATCAAAGACATTTCTCTCATCAGTGAGAAGAATTGGAAAGATATTGGGTCATGGAATGCTATGATCAAGCCAGCAATCCAAGATTGCGTGCATCATATCGTTGAGAGGCAAGCAGCGCTCAGAGGTAATGGAGTTGCCGTAGCCGCAAGCGATGGATCCCTTACATACAAGGAACTGAACCACCTCGCGACAATTCTAGGCGTCTACTTAAATAAGCTCGGATGTGAGCGTGGGACGTTTGTTCCACTTTGTCTAGATAAATCGCTTTGGGCTATCGTTGCTATGGTTGGTATTCTCAAATCAGGCGCAGCCTGCGTTCCCATGGATCCAACACATCCAACCGATCGCCTTGCTCAGATTATTCGAGAAACAAAAGCTAACGTTGTGATTGTGTCAAACCGATATAAATCAAGATTTAGTGTCAGGAACTCAATTGTGCTAGCAATGCCCTTCTTCCAGGAATTGGGGACACAAGGTCCATACGCAACGGGTGAACATGTATCAGTCCAGCCGCACGACACCGCGTTTCTGATGTTCACCTCGGGAAGCGTAGCGAAGCCGAAGGGCGTTATTTTAGAGCATGCCGCTATCTACTCGAGCCTAGAGGATCTTGTCGAAGTAATGAATATCACTTCCAGCACACGGTCACTTCAATTCGCCAGTTTCACATTCAACGTCAGTCTCGCTGACATTTTCGCGCCTATGTTGCGTGGGGCTTGTGTCTGCATTCCTTCAGAACATCACAGACTCAACAATCTACCAGAGTTTATCCGACATTTTAATGTCTCAGACGCATGGTTTACATCGACTACGTTGGCTCAGCTGAGTCCTACAGATGTGCCTGGTCTGAAACGCGTAACAATTGGTGGTGAAAGTATCACTCGCGACCAACTAGCTGTTTGGGCGCCAGAGACTGACTTGAATATCACTTATGGTACCACTGAAACTGCTGCTTGGTGCCTTTTCCACCCCTCGCTCTCTCCAGATTCTGATCCTTATAATTTGGGATACGCTGCTGGCGGAGCTGTCTGGATAACTGACCCATCCGACCCTGAAGAACTGGCGCCTGTTGGTTCGGTGGGCGAGGTATTGATCGAAGGCCCAGCGCTAGCCCGAGGGTATTTGAATGATCCTGAAAAAACAGCAGAATCGTTTTTAAACGCCCCAGAATGGCTGAGGCGCCTTAGGCCAGGTGGGCAGCGACGAGTGTACCGAACGAGGGATCTGGCCCGATACAATTCAAACGGATCTATCGAATTTGTCGGGCGAGAAGCAACCCGGGCGAAGCTAAGAGGGCACAGGATTGAGGTTGGGGAGGTGGAGATGCACATCAAGCAACTGTCTCGCTCCTTTAAAGATGTAGTTGCTGAAGTGGTGGTTCCAGCAACGAGCCACAGTGGTGGGCTGGTGTCAAATCCAATCCTGGTGGTTTTTATCTGGTCTGGAACCGGAGCAGCGCCGAAGGAGGCATCTCAGGCTGCATTTCCTAATCTCTTTGCGCCAACAACAGAAGCATTTCAATCCGATGCAGCCCACACACTGGCACGACTTCGCGACATTTTACCTGGTTATATGGTACCTACGACAGCCATACCACTTAACTTTATTCCTTTGACGACTTCAGGAAAAACAAACAGGCGTCAGCTACGAGAGCAGGCTTCGGCACTATCTCGAGAACAGCTGAATGCTTTTCTCTCCCCAGAATCCATAGTGCGACCGCCGACAAAAAAAAGGGAATTAGTAATGCGTAAGCTATGGGCAGAACTTCTTGGGATTCCCGAACTGCACATTGGAGTAGACAGCAATTTCTTTGCTCTAGGAGGTGACTCAATCGCAGCCATGAAACTGGTCTCAATGGCCCGAAAGCAGTCGTTAACAATTTCTGTGATGAATATCTTCGAAAAGCAACATCTCTTCGAGATATCTGAGTCAGCAACGCCTATCTCTGAATTCCATGGCGAATCCGCAGAGCCATTCAGTCTCCTGGGAAATTTTGAGGACAAAGAGAAGATAATTCTGGAGGCTGCACATCAATGCGCAATCCAAATTGATGCCATAGAGGACATGTATCCGTGTACAGCCTTACAAGAGGGACTCATGGCTTTAACTTTGAAAAAGCCAGGTGCTTATATGGTACAAGTGTCATACGAGCTCCCCCCCGATCTTGATATTGCCAAATTTCAACGCGCCTGGATAAGGACGGCAGCCAGACTCCCGATATTGAGGACAAGAATCATTCTCACAGATTGTCACGAAATGTTCCAGGCTGTGGTCCGGCAGAACCTAGAGTGTAACTCGGAGAATGATCTGGATCGTTACCTGGAAGCGGATGGCCAGAGGCCTATGCATCTTGGTAGTCCTCTTGTGCGGCTCGCTTTGGTAGAACAAGCTGACAGCAATAACCCGAAATATTTGGTATTAACAATGCATCATTCAATCTTTGATGGATGGTCATTTCCGCTGATTTTAAACCAGGTGGAGACAGACTATAACGATGGGGCGCCGCCAGAGAATAAAAACTTCAACATGTTCATGAAATACGTTTACGAGATAGATAAATCTGCATGCGACAGATTCTGGACATCAAGTTTCACAGACCTGAATGCGCAGAATTTTCCAGAAGCAGCTACGAAAGGCTATATTGCTGCCCCGGACACAGTGATTCAGCATCGTATACCGCTCAAAACCACGCAAAGAAGCAATATCACACTATCTACCATGCTAAGACTAGCTTGGGCAATTGTCATAGCAGATCAAACTCAATCGGACGATGTTGTTTTCGGCACAACGGTAACTGGACGCCAAGGCGCCGTCGCTGACATTGAGAAAATCATCGGTCCTACAATCGCAACGGTGCCTCTCCGTATAAAATTGGACATGCAGAAAACAGTGCAAGATCTCTTGCAAGCTCTACAAGAATACACTACTTCTATGATTCCATTCGAGCAAAGAGGTCTGCAAAACATAAGCAAACTGGGTCTTGATTCTTCCGCGGCTTGCAGATTTCAAAATCTATTAGTTATCCAGCCGTCTCCGCAACATATGGACACTGAGATCTTCAAGAGGGAATGGAGTAACTCCGGTACAAGCGCGGGCTTCTATGACTACCCATTGACATTGTCCTGCCAAATTTACGACAAGCAAATTGAAATTCGTGCAATCTTCGACGCCCACCTGTTGCCAGAAGCGCGCGCGCAGCGTATTTTGGAACAGTTCTCCTATATCCTCCAAAACATTCGTGATATGCCTCAAAAGCAGCTCAAAGAATTGGACCTGATATGTCCCCAAGAAGAACTCCAGCTGATGTTATGGAATGGAAGCTTGCCAGATAAAGTGGATTGTTGTGCTCACGATCTCATTCTTGAAAATTGCCGTACTAATCCGACTGCTGAGGCTGTTTGCTCATGGGATGGTACTTTCACATATCAAGAATTAGACGAGCTCTCTTCTGCTGTGGCAGCACATCTAGTTACCCAAGGCCTTCAGCCCGAGACTTTCGTTTGTCTGTGCTTCAATAAGTCCAAATGGACCACAGTTGGGATACTCGCAGTTATGAAAGCTGGAGGAGCTTTTGTATTACTGGAACCGTCATTCCCGCTTCGAAGATTAGAGCAAATTTGTAGTAACACTGGGTCGAGAATCATCCTATCATCGGCTGAACATGCGTTGTTGAGCGCAAGTTTGGCACCTACAGTCATCGTCCTTGATGACGGCACAGAACAGTGGAACAAACCTTACAACACATTTGAAGGACCTCGAATCAACCCTAAAAATGCTCTTTATGCTATCTATACTTCAGGGTCAACAGGAAAACCAAAAGGAGTCGTTATTGAGCATGCGTCATTCTGTACAGCAGCGAAAGCGCAGCTTAAAGCGTGGGGGATGGATCAGCAATCCAGAGTCATCCAATTCTCATCATATGCCTTTGATGCAAGCGTTATGGAGCATCTGAGCACCCTAGTTGCTGGTGGCTGTGTTTGCGTCATATCCGAGATGGATCGTAGGGACAACTTGGGAGAGGCATCAAGTCAATTACGAGCAAACTGGGCATGTTTTACTCCATTCTTTGCAAGACACCTGATACCAGAACATTTTCCAACGCTCAGGACAATATTACTGGCTGGGGAAACAGTTTCAGAGGCTGAAATAGAGCTGTGGGCGGATTACGTACAGTTGAAGCAGACATACGGTCCAGCTGAATGTTCACTCGCCGCTGTAAACCAACCGCAAATCAACACCAAATCCGATCCTCGCAACGTTGGATACCCCGGGGGGTGTTCTTGTTGGGTGGTTGATCAGGAAGATCATCAAAAACTCGTTCCAATTATGTGCGTCGGCGAGCTTGTGATTGAGGGCCCAATAGTCGGACGAGGATACCTTGGAGAGGAAGAACAAACCAGAGCAGCATTTATCCAGCCTCCTAATTGGATCAAAAGATTTCGACAACGAAATCCCACTGGTCCATTCTACAAAACTGGAGACTTGGTTCAGTTTCAGTATGATGGGACAGTGAGGTACATTGGACGGAAAGATACGCAGGTGAAACTTCACGGTCAACGCATTGAACTGGGAGAAGTTGAATATCATGCGGCACAGTATTTAGGAAAAGCAGAAGTTGTTGCGGAAATTGTAAAATTCCGGAATACGGCTAGATCTGTCCTGGCTGTTTTCGTGAAGTACGCAGACAAGGCACAAGAGAGGGTCACAGATCTCCCAAGTCTCGAATTTATTGTGAGCATGACCGAGGACATGCGATCGCAGTCAATTGATCTTGTGATTGGACTCCGCAACTCATTGCCTAAGTACATGATCCCGAAATTTGTTTTCCCTATCGCTCACGTCCCATTGACAGCAACTGGCAAGATAGACCGAAAACGATTACGAGAGCAAGTGTCTCTGCTACCCGAAGACATAGCCAGCAACTATACAATGTCAACCAGCAAGAAACAAAAACCATTGACCTTTATGGAGAGAAACATCATGAATCTTTTTTTCACAGGTTCTGAAAATAGACATGGATTGCATAGGTGTAGACGAAAGCTTCTTGGATTTGGGGGGAGATTCAATCCTTGCACTGGCCCTTGTTGAAGAAGCTCGCAAGAAGAATTGGACCTTTACCGTGTCCCAGGTCCTCACCGATGATATTTCAACCCTGGCAGCAGCAGAAGATCTTTTGCTTTAAGGTGCGTCCCTAAGTGCAGAGACGCACTATGTCGCGAGACAGGTTCACGCTTCGGACGTTCGGACATGCTTCCTATTAAACTTGGTAACGTGTCCGTGCGCGTGATGCGCGGATTCGCGTGATGCGCGGGGAACACCATATCCACTACTTCAAAAATGAAGCTATTAAGCCACGTATATAAGCTGTTATTATACGAATTTATAGAGGGGGAGTAATTAGATGCTTGCGATCAACTTGTACTATCTATATTTTGATGGGAGGTTGACGTTGCGGCCACGTGATGTGAGCTTTGATGGAGGAGCTGGAGGCTCTTCTTGAACTTGAGCACCAGCGCGAGCAGCCTCAACGCGTTTTTGACGCTTGTTGTTCGATGAGGTAGCTGCTGAAGCTCTCCTCTTTCCCTTTTGGGGTAGTTGTATAGCTTTAGCAGCGTCTCTCTCCTCCTTCTGGCGCGCGCGTTCAGCTGCTTTCTCAGCTCGCTCAAGCTCCCTCATCTCCTTGAGTCTCTGCCTCTCCACACGCCTCTCCTCGAGCTCATCTTGACGCTGCAGTCGAGCCTCCTCGCGCTGCTTCTTGGACCGTGCTTTTTGGAGTTTCTCCTCCGTCTCATCTCGCTCCCGTACTGCTTCTCTAGCTCGAGCCTCACGCAGCTTGCGAGGAGACCAGAAGACAGAGCCACCGTGATACTCCTGGCGCTGTTGAAGGTCAAGAGCTTTGCCCTTCTTCCTGTGCTTCTTTTTATGTTGAAGAGCCTCCTTTAAGCCCTCGTTCTCATGCTTTAAAAGCTCATACTGCACAGAGAGATGGTGAACGCTTGAGCGCAGCTTTCTTGCCTCATACTGATGGCTATCATTAACAGCAGCTCGTACTAGCCGATCGAGCTTTCTCCAGTCATGATCAGAGAGCCCTGACGATGAGCTTCTCTCAGCTTCTGGCGTGCTAGCAAATCTACGAAGGATAACGTTGGCATCCATCGGCCAGATCCCAGTGGCTTCGAAGGCCTTCAATATGAGGCTCTCTGTGAAGGAGGATATCCAGGCGCTCCAGAAGAGCGGGAAGAAGTCCCCTTTCTTGATTGGAATAAGGCCTTGAGCCTTATGGAGATGGTTAGTGAGCTCGTTAGAGTAGGCTTGAGAGAGTGGCTTGAACAGCACTACATCTAGCGGCTGGAGCGTATGGGTCGAATGGGGAGGAAGGATCATGAGGAGGATCCTATGGCGATCGCAGTACTTAATAAACTCCATCGTGAGGTGAGATCCATGGCCATCAAGGATGAGCAATCTCCATCTACCTGATCGTTGCTTTGTAGAGCGATCAAACACCTGCTCCAGCCAAGCTAGGCCTACGTTATCATTTGACCAGCCTGTTGGAGATGATGAGACAAAGACCTCATGTTCTCCTGCCTTGATATCTTCTACCCAACTCGATCGTATAGCTCCATTTTTAGCTGCGTAGATAAGGGCTGGAGGCAGCGAGCTCCCATCAGCGCAGCAGCAGGCCAGGACTGTCAGAAACTCGCGTGATCCATCCTGGAGAGATGCTCGAACCTCCTTCTTCTCCCATTGACGCCTGCTGAATATCCTCTTACTTCTGCCTATCAAGCCAATTAAGAAGCCCTTCTCATCCATATTGTATATATCTCGAGCCTCTAGGTGATATTCGGTGATCTTTCGATGCAGCAGCTCGAAGTAGAGTCTATACTTTGACTCAGAATCAGCCAGGTGGCGCGTACGATCCATGGCGCTGGTCCACTTTGAGATGAGATGGATCTCGTGTCGGTTGATGAAGCGAGTAACCCAGCTCTCGCTGAGCTGCTGATGGGCTACTTCTGATGAGAAATTCCTGATCATCTCTCGTGTAGGAGGAATGCCTCGCTTTGTGAGCTTTTCGATATATCTCACAAGCTCTAGCTCTTGTTGTGGGTTGAGTTTCTGCTGGTTGAAGTTCTTGTCTCTTTCTGAGCTTGTCTGGCCCTGGTGCCTTCGGGTCAACGTAGATCTCACAACACCATGCTTAGCAGCAATTTTAGTATACGAGAACTGTTCTCCTGGCTCTAGATTTTCAATATCTTCAATCGCAGCTTGAATTGGGTCCATATTGGTGGAGTTAACGTGTGTTGAAGGTGAAGGGGTTTGACGTGTTTTGGTGTTCCCCGCGCATCACGCGAATCCGCGCATCACGCGCACGGACACGTTAAGCTAGCTGACCGGGATGTTGATCACCCGGGGATGTTGATCACTCACAAATCCCAGCACTCTCACACAAAACACGTGTTGTCTCTCTACATACTCAATCAAAATGGGCGACCGTGAAGCAGCTATACAAGCAGCTATCAGCGATATCGATGCTGGTGTTTTCCTAAGTCAGAGGGCGGCTGCAAAGGCGTACAACATCCCGCAATCCACAATCTCAACGCGCATACGCGGCAGACAAAGCAACTAAGCCAGCCACATATACCAGCAGCGATTGACTCTAGAGCAGGAGGACTTCCTCGTACAATGGATACTCGAAGAAGACGCACGAGCTTTTCCTCCCTCCCACGCACGCGCACGAGAAATGGCGAACCGAATCCTCCGGATGAATGGAGACCACAGACCCGTAGGCAAGCATTGGATGGCTGCCTTCCTCAAGCGCAACCCACGCGTCGCATCTGTTGTAGGCCGAAAGATTGAAGCTGCTCGAGCTGAGGGAGCGACACCGGTACAGATACGCGCGTTCCTTGAGCTCTTTGAGAGGACTCGTACGAGGCTGGGTATAAGAGCTGAGGATATATGGAATATGGATGAGACTGGGAAGGCCTTAGGTGTATGTGCTAACACCAGAGTACTCGCATCTAGTCAGAAGAAGAAGGCTTACCATCAGTCTCCAGAGAACCGCGAGTGGGCGTCGGTAATCGAGTGCGTGTCGGCTACGGGCAAGAAACTTCGCTGTTCGGTCATTTTCAAAGGGAAGAGCCTACAAAGTACTTGGTTTCCAGCAATAATTCCTGAATAGCTTTACACAACGTTGGAGGATAGCTGGACATCGAATGCGATAGGAGTTGAGTAGTTAGAGCGGGTGTTTCTACCCGAGACAGCTCTACTAGATGATCGTTGGAGGATGCTAATCCTCGATAGCCACGGTAGCCATATAAGTCTGGATTTTCTATGGACTTGTAAACAGAATAAAGTCTATCTTCTGTTTCTACCTGCGCACGCTTCTCATATCTTACAGCCTCTGGATCTCTTGGTTTTCTCGGTTGTAAAGAGATTTTACCGCCAGCAAATTCAGGCTCTCTCGTACCTTGATGACGCCGCACCAGTAAAGAAAGAGCGCTTTATTACAGCTTATTATCACGCAAGAGAGCGCGCAATTACTAAGAAAGTTATCCGGGCAGGATGGGCTACTACAGGTATCTGCCCATTCAATATTGACCGGGTAGTCAATTCATCTCAAGTAACTCAACGGCCTATCACTCCACCGCGTCAGGATCAACCTCAATCTACTCAGAGTTATCTCTCTACCCCTCACGGACCTCGTGAGGTTTTTGTAGCGCAGCGGCAGCTTCACAAGGACGAAAGTCTTGGGCGAAAGACTCATCAATTCATCGAGAAAGTTGGCAAGGCACTTGCTACAGCAAATATACGCGCAGCACAGCTAGAAACAGAGAACAGAAGACTCTATAGTCAACTTGAGGCTCTTAAGCCTCAACAGCCACGAAAGAAGGTTCGTGTTAACCTAAATCAACGCTTTGCAGATGTAGATACAATCATGGTTGCCGTACAGGCCTCACAGCTTCTTCAGGCACAGCGCGATGTTAATGCTGAGGAAAAGGCTGCAGAAAGAACAGCAGCTGAAACAGCAGCTCAAACGCTTCAGTCTATGTGTACAGAGTGGCAATTGCGACTACGTTGAGAGAATAAACACGTGTTTTGTGTGGGAGTGCTGGGATTTGTGAGTGATCAATATCCCCGGGTGATCAACATCCCGGTCACCTAGCTTATCCCTTCCTATGTGGCAGAAAACCCGGTGAGCCGGAATCAGCCAATCAAACATAGCATCGTGCCGGAATATCTGCCGACTCTACGCTTTCATTGGTTGATTCCGGCCCATCAGAATTTCCGCTATACGGGGAGGGATGCTACTCCTTGTAATCTCTAATAGACAGAGGGTGCCGTTGAAAAGTCGATTGAAGAAGTCGACGAGACAATAAATAAGCATGCCAACACCACAGTAATCGTTGTCGGAGATAAGTTGACACGGGAAATAGGAATTGGAGAATCTCTTAGTTTTGTTTGCACATTAAGCTAGCTGACCGGGATGTTGCGTGCGTGGGAGGGAGGAAAAGCTCGTGCGTCTTCTTCGAGTATCCATTGTACGAGGAAGTCCTCCTGCTCTAGAGTCAATCGCTGCTGGTATATGTGGCTGGCTTAGTTGCTTTGTCTGCCGCGTATGCGCGTTGAGATTGTGGATTGCGGGATGTTGTACGCCTTTGCAGCCGCCCTCTGACTTAGGAAAACACCAGCATCGATATCGCTGATAGCTGCTTGTATAGCTGCTTCACGGTCGCCCATTTTGATTGAGTATGTAGAGAGACAACACGTGTTTTGTGTGAGAGTGCTGGGATTTGTGAGTGATCAACATCCCCGGGTGATCAACATCCCCGGGTGATCAACATCCCCGGGTGATCAACATCCCGGTCAGCTAGCTTATCAACCCACTAGTTACTCGGGCCCAAGGATGGCGTCCCGCCACCCATGCTGCGCATGGGCCCTCGCAAGCTTAGGGCCCCTGAGCTTAACGATAAACATACGCTCAACAATAATATCACTAACGTGGTTCACAAGCGAGTCGGCCACCCAAGCGGGTCGGCCACTTTGCACCGACGCGTCAACGTCAACACTATAGCACGTAATGACTCAACAACGCACCTCTCAAACTTTATATTCTGAATTAGATCTTCAAATTGCGCTTTTTGATATCCAATCAAAACGTGTTAAAAGTCAAAGACGTGCTGCTTC